ACACACACACACACACACACACACACACACACACACACACACACACAAGTTTATACACATTACATACTGAAAATTTTTCATTTTATTTTAAATTTTTATTATTTTTTTTTTCATTTTTAATTTTTCAAATGTAAAAATACGTCAGACAAACATAAAATAAATACTAACATCACATTCCACAAGGAAGTAACGCGTTTCAACTTGTATTTTTATATAAATATTCACTAAAACCGAAAATCAAATAGTAGTAGGTTACTACTACTAAAACTAGCCTACATGAATTTGATTTTTGCCTCACTTGTGACAGTTCGTTTGATATGAAACTATCATTCTATGCGTTATTATGCTAAGTATTTACCTTTGATTAGCTTTTTTGATATACACAGCATATTACGTTGCAGGTAATGAAGCACACAAACAACAAAATCGATCATTTATTAGACGCGACAGACATATCACCGACTACATCTGTGATTCTGGTTAACACTGTTTACTTTTCGGTAAGACTTATAATCAGGATCTTTCAGCATTCAAGTAGCAATAGAGGTTACAAATATGTATTGCTTTACGTTGTGGCGTACCGTCGATTTAACAAACTTTTGCTGTAACTACCAATAGATGTAACGTTTTCGATACAAAGACCATCGATGTTACGACTTTCGAGATTATGAATTCAGACCCCTTTGAGATAGTTCAGAAGATAGTATTCGATATAAGATTTACACTTACAGAGTACAGAGGCGATTAGAATAGGAATGTAGACCTCCTTGTGAAAGAGTTCGTCCAGAAAATGACTGTCACCTTACGGATTTCTGCCGCCAAGCGGTAGTGAGCATTATATGTTCCGATAATATACTCGAATACTTAAATAATAAGAATTGTCACGGAAATGAAATAAAGAATACTAACATGCAATAACAATAATCCAAAAAAATACTTACAAATTAATTCTAACCTCATAATTGCACATATATGGGATTGATTCTTATAGTACACCTATTTAATTGAAAATCACAAACAAATCATGTTTTATTCCGTCATTAACGGTAGCAAGCTAAAATCCTGAAAATTCTTATAAAGTTTAGTGATTAGTCACTTAACTATAGTTACTTGTACTGTTGTAAGAATTGTTCCAAGTTTTGTTTATTTATTTTTTGTTATACACCGGCACATGTAGCGGAACACAAGGTAAACAAAAATCAAATTTTTCAAAACACTGGATGGTTATTTTGCTCGTTATAAAGTTTAATTTGAAAATAAAAAATAAGTCAGTCAGTCAGTCAGTCAGGTGTGTTGAATAGTTCGAGGTGGATTTTGTGATCTTGTAAATTTAGTTAAAAAAGTTTTTATATTTGTTAAAGTTTGATTTAATCAATGTGAAACTATTTAATTTTTATTTGTTCTGAATTGTCACGAAATCTAAATCAAAATTTTTTTATTTTCGATTTTTACGTTAAAATATGTTAATTTAATTTGTACTTTGTCTTATTCTTATTTATTTAAATACAAACGTTATTATTTTTATATTCTCATTTTCTTTTTATTCCGTTAAATGTGCCAGTGGGTGTATATTGATACTTTGTGTATATTGATACGAGAGATTGTAATACGCGATACTTAAATGGATAATTTCAAATTACACGGAACAATAACCATAAAAAACTGGTTTTATAATACCCTAGCTAATTGACTTTTTCTTAATATGTGTTCTTAAAAATTCTGTTGTTCATTCAATTTTCTTATAACCGACTTAAAAAAAATCAGGAGGTTCTCAATTCGACTGTATTCCGGCAATTATGAACAGATTTCGACGATTCTTTCTTTGTTGGAAAGAGGGTACCTCAATATTGGTCCCATTTAAATTTGAAGAAAATATTGCACTTCTTAGGGTGGCAAACTAGGGGACGAATCTGTTTTCGCGCACTTTCCGGTAACTGATTCCAATAAAACATGGCAAATAGATGTAATTCTAAGAACTTTTGAGGTCGGCTTCTTTTATAAGAAGTTAGAATTATAAAAGATCTTATCTTAGTTAGCTCATGGTTTAGCTAACTACCTACTGAAAAAGTGAAATGTAACATTCTTACACTAGCCTCACAGTACATTTATGAAAATGTAATTTATCTTAAAAGAAATAGTCTTTATGAAAAATAGTGAAAGACATAACATTAATACGAGGAATAAAAATAAACTAGCTTTTCTTGATAGTCGTCTTCACAAAGTCAAAAAACCATTTAAGGGGCAATGTATACGCTTATATAACAAGATTCCGGTTGATATACAAACTTTGCCTTTCACGAGGTTTAAAACTATAGTGAAACAAAAACTTTATACTAAAGCTTATTACACAATTTCTGCGTACTTGGATGACAAAAATCCGTGGTAGTAACCCATTTAGGTCATGGAGGTAGTCTCGATCTCTGATGTTTGAAAAAAAAAAAATATTGTAAATGTTATTTACAAAGAGCAACCCCTAGAGTTTCTTGCTCATTCTTCTCAGGGGAATCTGCCTTACGAATGAGCGGTAGAGTTTAACCATTGTGACGATTTCAAGTATAATAATGCTTACCTATGAAATAAAGATTATTTTGAATTTTTTAATTTTTTTTTTTTGCCTGTCTGTGTGATTGTAGCGGCTGGACTGGAATCAGGGACATCGCCAAACCGGAGCTATCGCTCTGAGAAACTACAGGTCTACTAATGTAATAATAAATTATTACTGATCTGCTGTATTAATTTAGTAATAATTTAATTTTTGCTAGTTTTAACAAATCTATGTCGATTCTTGTAGCTGTATATTATAGTACACAATATGTACAAGTATCTATATATGTGGGACACCTTTTTGCGACCATTGCATGAAATAAACTATATAAGAACAGGCGCTTGTCACCTTTTTCATCACAACGAGGAAAAATACTGACATATGAAGAGGCTGTATGGTGGAATCTTTGCCTAATTACCCAAATAAATGGCGGAAATTTATTTCAAAAATTACGAAAATATTTACAATTTTCATTTTGCTATAACTTCGTTATGATAAAGGTACAATTTTTTTAAGAATAAGTACTAAATAGTACAATTTTGGTACATTTTTTTGGTACCAAATATGTCAGGATTCGTTAAGATGCACACGGCACTCTGAAATCTCAACATATTTTGTCTTATTTATCAGAAACTAACCAGCAGATTGAGCTGGAGTTTCCTTTAAATACTTCAGAGTACTATTAAGGTACAAATTTTTGGGATAAGAAGTTTTTATAGTTATGAAATAAATACTGGTAATCCGAGGCACACCCGCCATATTGACAGTCAATACGGTCAATACATAGAATGATAGTTTCATAAAGGTTTCATCTTAGAATAATAACGCATAGAAACCTAGCCCGCACACGCCAAGTGAGGCAAGTTAGAGGGTTCCAAACGCGTCCCAGGAGCGCGCGGGCTGTTAGTGCTCAAGGTCATATTGCACCGCGAACAGCTCCAAAATTTTTTGCTAAAAATGACGAAATGTGCGGTAAATGGGTGTAAAAATACAACAGACAAACATAAAATAGACACTTACATCGCATTCCACAAGTAAGTAATGCGTTTCAACTCATATTTTTATGTAAATATTCACTAAAACAGAAAAATAATTTCGCGGCAACAAGATACGAAAGTGTTGCAACGTAACGAATTTTTTTTCTCCCCATTTTGCTATTCTGTATCAAAATAATTATATTACGTAAATTTTAGTGGTGCCTGTAATTTAGATTTATTTGCGCATCTTGAACTAATATTTAATTTAATAAACATTAAATGTTTTCGTTAACTCCTGTAAGTGATTGGGACACTTAATTATTTTATAATACTTTTAACGGCTCTGTGTTCATGCTTTATTGAATAATTATTTATTTTAATTTTATTTGAATTGGAGCACATATTGCAACAAATTTACAGTACTTATATATTTGTTTCTACTATAGTGTTGGCACCACCAGTACAACTTTGATAGCTTATTATATGTCTTTCTTTTCGTAACTCAAGCGAAATATTTTATATTAAAATATTTTATTTTCTTAAAAGGGGAGCATTCTTAAGCGATTTTTTAATCTATTTTAACAGTTATTTTCTTTAATGTTTGCTTATGGCATTTTCGGTTTTAGGTTTCGAATATGGCACTTATTTCTAAATCCAAGATGCGGGCGCGATTTTTCGAATAATGGCAAGTTGGGTATCGTTTTCGAGATGTTTGGGAATGTTCAATACAAATATGGCACTCATTTCTAAATCCAAGATGGCAAACACGACAGTTCAAACAAAAGCAATATTCGTAATGAGCACCCCCAAATACCTCGAAAACGATACCCAACTTGCCATTATTTGAAAAATCGTGCCCGCCATCTTGGATTTACAAATAGTGCCATATTCACATTGAGCATCCCCAAATACCTCGAAAATGATACCCACATAGCATTTTTTTGAAAAAATCGTGCCCGCCATCTTGGATTTAGAAATGAGTGCCACATTCGTAATGAGCACC